ATGTAGATTACGATTAATTAGATTTACCGTTCATTAAAATCTAAATAAATTTAATTACCGATGTAATCAGCTTTCTAGCCGATATTAGCGTTTAACTAGAATTAAAGTACCCCTTCTTTTTATCATTACTGACACAATATCGCGTATCGTATTCGAATTTAATAATGTGTAATCATGTGCAATGCGAGATCAGAGCGCAAATTCAGATTGCCATTACGAGTTTAATATTATATTATTTGCATTTTTGTCAAATTATATTACGAAATGAAGAGAAAATATATAAATTATAATTATAAAATTATTTAAGCAGCGATATCATATAATTTATAATTCATCGTGCGATTGAATACATCAGATAATTTGTCATGTTCAGCTCTGCGGTTAACGGACAGAATTTTATTTGCGCAAACGCGCGACACAGCAGCAACCTACGGTAAATTCAATTATATTAATATAATGATCGCGTACAAAGGTGTATTACGCCGCAATTAGATATTTCCCATTTATGTCAAAGGCGCCTGCTAATTTGAATTTTATCAAAGACTTATGCGTGCCGCCTTCAAACACTGTTAGTGCCTACGAGTCAATAACGCTCGCGAAATCGCACGTTCTGCGCTTGTAATTAATACTTATTGATCATTAATTATTTGCAACAATCACATCATCAGCGAGGCAGCAAGCGGCGCAGCCTAGGCTGTCACTCGTCCGCTTGTTCGTTTGCTTCGCAAATCGGATTACGGGCGCGACCAACTGGGCCCGAATTTATAATACAGAAGGACGAGAGTGTCCGGATAAAGGTGCATCCGCGCGTGAAATTCCTCGTGACCGGCTTCTAACGAGATTGTAATACGTAATAGTTCGTAATTTCATAGTTATTATTCTCGTAACGAGGACACCGTACCTTTCCCTGCAGGTCCGTCCAGCTGGCAAATTCGCGTCGGTAATTTACCGCCACGCGTAGAACTCTCGCGCTATCGCATTAAACCGTTTAAACGCGACAGGCTTGATATTCGCGTCGCTGCGCAGAGACGTAACATCGATAGTGCATAATTTGAATGTTACGCCAGCATTACATCCGGCTAAATTGCTCCATCCATTCGTGACGATTTATGTTACGAATATTACGTTCCCGTGTACTCCTATTTTATCCGTTTTATAATTTATGTCATGTTTTCCGCATCGACATTTTCAGCCAATGCTTTATGCATGCCTCACATTTTCGTAATTTTAAGCGATGTTTTTTTGCAATTGTCGCTTAATATTCGGCTAGAGATTTCGACGAAAGAAACGATCGAAAAACCGTTACAGTCTCGAGTTTTTCGGCTTTGCAGCCAGCGACGATCCATTGTTGAGTCATTCTTCAATCGTAGATTCAATTTTGCGCAGGTTCAACGCGCGTCGTTTTCTGTATTTCGATATATCTATGAAAAGCTATTCATGCATGGAATTTTTAACGGAGATATTCACGAAAATCCCTCTTATCGATCGACCTGTTCAGAAATTGCGGACTTTCAAATTGGTTTTTGGATAAGATAGGTATTTTCCGGTGCGTTAAACACGCGAGAAGCGACGCGCAGTTTCAATTCGTTTCCGTAAAAGTTTATTCTCAACGATACCAATTAACGTTCAAGAGAGTATGTCTCGTTTAGTGACGTTTCGAGAGATTCTTTTCATATAAATAATATAAAAATCTTGATGGCGATGAAACTCGTCATCGTTGCAAACGATGCAATCTCTAGCGAATTTTCGTGGTCGAGCTTTCTTAAAGGACTTTAAAGTGCTCTCGCTTCCTAACGACGAGTCGTGTATGAATCGAAAGATATTGAAGGGGAATATTATTGAAAGATCTACTCGTTCAGGTGGAATAATAGATGAGAGGAGAAAAGATTTTCAGGCTCACTACTGATCAGCGAGGCGCGCGTATCTTTGGCAAAGGCTGTTCTAAATGTATACCATGGTGGTCCCACAGATAAGAGCTTAGATTCGTGTCTGGCTTCCTAAAGATTGAGGCTATCTATCACGCCTGGATTTTTTGACTGATCCTTCTCGACGGCTTCTAACTTATTTTAGGGATGCACAAGCTAACGTCAGTAGCAGTTGTTTCGTATAATGGTGAATTAGTGGGAAATTAATATCAATTTATCAAGAAAAGTAGGTTAACGTGCAAACAATAATTTATTTATTTTACAATTTTGCCTTTACGTATTTTGATACATACGTGTGTATAATTTACAGATAGTTTTTTAAAATATAAACATTTTATATTTTTGTAAAATATTTTAAACTATAGAGAAGCTAATAAGATTTGCACGAATATTTAAATATTGATCTATGTGTCGATTGTTTGAAGATCACAGATTTTTTTAAAATAAAGGAAACTATTTTTCTAAATCAAAATCATGAAAAAAAATTATCATTGCAAGAACACCTAAAAAATTTCACGCGAAATTAATATTAACGTTCTAAAATAAAAATTGTACAACAATTAAGTTACAAGCGATTTTTACAAACCGTTGAAATTGCAGCAGGAAGAGTGGAGAAATTATTTTTTCGCCCACACAATACAAACGAATGTGACGTCGTTGGAAGAGCGGCGAATAATTTAACGGAGGTTGCTATTCGTTAGACGCGTTCTGTGTAAAGTTGCACCTGGATTATTTCTACATGCGGGCATGGTGGAGACAGGACGGTAAACGAGCGCGATGTGCGAATTTTACAGCACGCTGGGTCACCCTCTGTGCTCGAAAGAAAAGCGGGAAACCGGAGAATATTGTCGACGAGATTACGTTTTTCTGTCGACGTGGCTCAACATGTAAAGCATAATAAACGCCTGAAACGTGCTTTCAGCTTTTAGACAGCTTCGGCAAGCAGTCGCGCTTGGGTTGGTTAATTCGTATTATGTATTAGTCGTGAGTCTGGACAGGATGATAATGTAAACGTTATTCCAGGTCGTTATTGCATTTGCAGAAATTGAGCACGAGTACACACGCGCAGGTTGATTAAAACCTGATTGCTTTTCTCACATGTCGATAAATATATGTACAACCGTATTCAAGCGAAATTAATATTTTATATTGATAATATCTTATTAGAAAGCCGGGGTATGCCTTCACGTACATGTGTTGTCATGTGCATGCATTCAACCGGGCGCGATTTACTTATTTTCATTTTCGAGATCAAAGCGTGACGTCAACGACAGCGTATAATGTAAAATGTGTAGGACTCAGTGATAGAATACGTACGGTACGCATTATTGATGCAGGCGCAAACTGCGCGAGGAGTTCCACGGTTTAATAAAGTCGGGCTTGTAACGGGTGCATTTCACAGGGCACACGCAACTTTTTACTATACTAGGTCAACCAGTTGGTCGAGTTAACAAATTGGCGTGCAAAGTACAAAGGCAAATAGAACACGACAACTACGTTGTCAGAGATTTTGCGCTTCTGTCTATATTCGACATACTTTCTTTTGCTTCGAAACTGTCCGTCAGAAGTACAAGTTTCTATAATTGTTTGGTATATATTCCAGATTTTTATATGAAATCTTCACATTTATCATGAAGTTATTAATTTACTTTGTGTCGACTATTTTTTTATTCGATTTTATAACAATTGTAATATTGATGTAGACCAATAATTAATTTCGAAAAATTGGTTCTTAAAAAACAAAACAGAATTTTATCGAGCTAATATTATGTAATAATAATTATATCCTTTGTTTCGTAATATGACGAATAATTGAACAAAATGATAGAAACGACAGAAATATTTGTTATTGATTAATTAATGTTGAAGAGTCTTCTTTTTAGAAGTAGCGGGAACATGGAAAATATTTGACTTACAATTGGAATTGGTACGAAAACGTTTGCCGAACGATTTACGTTTCAGCACGTAATGTTTATTAATCAAATTTTGTTTGCACACACCGAGATGGCACTCGGCCCGCCTGTAGCTAGAGTAAAAATCTTAATAAGATTCTACGTGAAATCCATCATCGACGTTAGAGTGACGCAGGTCACGTGGAAATATTCAGGCCAAAAACACGCTCGCCCTTCGCATTTTCACCCGAATAACTCGCCGAGAGCTTCGCCCGTCGTTCATCTTTGCACGCTCGAGGCTGAAAATATTTAGTCGCCCATTAACGGTGTGACAATTTTCACGCTAGAGTTGTCGAGGACGGTTTACCATTCGTTACCGAGGCTTTTAACGATCGCGTTGTACCGCGGGAAATTTATTTGCGCGGCTGTTCGATGGACAGACCGTTTCGACTCGACTGTAAAACCATGATGTAAATATTAGACTTGGCTGCAAACGTGGTGGTCTTTTCGCTGAAAGATTAAACAGGAATCTGCGGTTAGCAGACGTCGCGTCGCACTGACTATCGAATCGCGTTCTCGTTCAACGGAAACAAAGTCACGTGGCGTGGAAGCGCGACGGTGTGCCGTTGCTTCCGACAGGCAAACTTTACACTACGGCAGCGGAATAGATTAAACGCATTTTATCGAATGAAGGAGAGTACGTCGTTGCGGCGCGTATTGAACGACCGCGCGATCGATGCGCGTTTAGCGTGCAGACAGCGAGAACGCAAAGAGTTGTATAGAGGGACAGTGAAGAAAGAGATAGATAGAGAGAGAGAAGAAGGGAGGGAAGGGGAGTCGTTTAATGGGATAGGAAGCTGTGGTTTTTCGATTACACGCTCGTCAAAATAACACGGCAGGTCAGTCGGAAAGAGCCCGCTTCCATCTTTTGGTGCCGCGATCCTCCCGCCAGTTCGTTCGGAAGAATTCGCAACTCGGAAGGAACGTGCCGTCAAGCGCGCTGCAAGAATAGTTTAACTCGATGTTTACGACCAGCGAGCACGGAAATGCCACTTGCGGAAATTTATGCGCGTCGCGATAATTGGCTACATGCGCCATCGTCGTATAATCCGCCAGCGGTGTGAATTTGCACGCGACGTTGATGAGAAGTGAGACAGATCAGTGGCAGACTGTTACTACTTACAGTATGTGTCGGTGGTAAGTCGATCGATGGTATCTTGTTTGAGCTTGCTGTTCTTCTTGCCCATCTTCGTAGCCTGGAGTCGTGCGAACGCTTGACGCGAGCTACACCAATCTCTTCCCGCTGAACCAAAGAGTTTTTCTCACGCTCGATCTCTTCGTGTTGGAACTCTCACCGTCCAACTCGCATCTCTCGATTCCGCCGAATTGCAGTGGATTGGCCGAAGATCAAGTGAGATTCACAGAGATTCTTCGATGACCAAAATGGATGTCTTCGTGCTGACTCACGAAGGAAGGAGAAATTTGTGAAGTTTCCCGAAGCACGAAGCAGTCCGACAGTTGTCTCTTCTAAAACGGCTTCTCGCGGGTTCTTCGACTTTTCTTGTTTCGAGGTCGCAGAGGAATTTTATCGAATCGGACTCGATAAGTTTTCTGCCTGCAACTTCCCTCCCTGTTGAGCCAAGCCAGTCCTCTTGTGTCTCGGAGAAGTTTGCCGATGGATTCAATTTGGAGGTGTGTTTTGCAGGAAGGCGGAAACTTTTTTTGATCTCAGCAATGCGTCGGGCGCCCCTCGATAAATTTGCGACGCAATAATGGACGTGCCGACGAAATCGAATCGCGAACAATAGAATTTGATTTAATTTGCTCGTGGCGCAGGCGGAAAAGCGTGTTTAATCGATTTAATTACGGCGCGGCTTCGTTATCACTCGTCGTATCGTCTTACTAACAGGATCGATTCGTTGATATGCCGTCCACGTGGATTTTCTTTTCGATGATATTGCTTTTTCTGTGAAGAAAGACAAGGAAGAATTTTAATGAGAACGTGCGAATCACTGCGCTCGGTCGCCGCTGCGGCTTTTCCATTTGTTTTTTCTTTTTCCTTCGCACTCGATGCACCCGCGACATTTCGAGGCGTCGGAAATTGGAACTGAAAGATTAGAGACTCGACCGCGCGTTTGAATTGCGAATTGCAGAATTGCATTGAGTGAGGAGGAATTTTCCAGTGCGATAGACTGCAGCGACGAGATCATTAATCGCGTCGCTCGATCTCTTCGGCAAAGTTTTGAAGTGCACCGACGAGCTTCGATTCGCAAAGATCGTATCGGAAAATTAAGACAAACTTAGGACGAACTTAAGGGAGATGCTGGGAAATGTTGCAGGACTTTATTAAAGCAGTTATGCAGTCGATAAATCTGTCCTCAACTTTCGCGAGTTTTCCTATTTGATTGATAAGGTCAAACGGACTCGTCGAATCTTCCTACCGAGCGAATCTTTATTTTTCACGAATGAGCATCTTCGGAGATGTTCAAGCACAATGCGAAAGATTATTATCAGCGAGAATAGTGCGTCACGGGCCGAGCGTATCGAAGTTTCAAAGGTCGTAAGACGAGACGAGACCGCTTTCAGGACTTGCACTAGCCAATCCCTTCTAGGCCATTATGTGAAAGGTTTTAAAGGCCAACGGCGTTACGATATCTCCAACCTTATCCAGGGATTAAACGGAATTTCTACTAAATGTATTTCCTACCTCTTGCTGCCACATTTCGCTTGTTCCGCTACGACTGCCTTTAATCCTATCGTTTTCCGGTTGCCATAAAAAAAATATATCAAGTTACTTTTAAAGCAATTGCCGTTATTACAATGTTTCCTCCTCGTTTGTTACCGCCGCGAATTTTGCAATTACTAATAAAATATAGTTTGCATTTAAAAGTAAAAAGTTACTAAATCATTTAAATGTAGAACATTGAAGCTACAGAAATTTCATCAAAGTTCTCTGAATATTCATAAAAAGAATATTAAACTAAAATCAGAGAGTTACCATTTTTTGTTACAATTTGAAGGCCCGAACAAGCAAAAGAAACAATAAATCTATTCTTTATTGCTCAGAAATTATTAATTATTCGCGCAAGCTTTAACGATACGCAAACTGATTATCGCGGTGGAAGAAATTTGAACATGTGCGCTGTATCGGCGTATTTATCGCGATGTCATTAGCGCTGCTGAATAATGAATCGCGTTCTCTTTCCTTCGTTTTCTATATTCACTTCAATCTTTATGCGATACAGCGGATCAATTAAACCCCGGCGATTCATGCGATTAAAAGTAACGAAAATGCTCGCTAAAAAAGAGAAAAGACTGAACTTTTGAAGAGACTGAATGAAATATAACGTGATTCAAGACGAAGTCGTGCCCGTTCGTTGTCGGAAGTTTGTAAAAACTTGGAACAGAATAACAATGGACGAACAAGGGGAGACGTGTCGTCTCCCGTCGGGGGAGTCGGTCGCGAGATGAAGTTACGGTGAAGTTGACTGCTTCGCTTTCTTAATATGGAGATCTCATTCGCTCCTGAGTGACGTACGCGGCGCGTTAAAGAGGAAGCGAGTGACTATCGCGAGCGAAGTCTACTGCTCGGCGAGAATTCATGAATTTGAATGCGGATCGGTGGCTAATGCGAATTCACATCACGTCGCTTGCGGTGGCGTAGTGTCGCGTTGCGTTCCCGCGAAGTTCGGGTAAGCATGCGATATCGCAGAAACGGAAAGGAGGAAGGGAGGAAGGGAGGAGGCGGTTTGATTCATACGTTGTTCATGCTGCTGCGTCGCGTAACGTCGCGTTGCCCGAATTCCCACGAGAGTCGATTTACATGGGAGTAAGAGAGAGGCACGAGACACAAGCATCGAGCGACCCTGCGAAATTCGGGGTACCGAGGGCCGCGGCGGGAGATGGAGACGCAGCCTCGCCGAATGATTAACTTCCGGTCGAGGTCGTGCTGCACCCTTGACCTCACACATTCCGTATCGCGGATAATACCTGGAGCACACATGCTCATTATTGCGTCACAGTGATACGAGTCGCGTTGAAAGATTCGCGAAGGTGCAAGAGAGCGGAAGCGGAAGCGGAAGCTTGAACGCGGATAATGAACAAGCGACGAACTGCGGGATCGAGCGCAACTTGGTGTTCTCCAGCTGAAAGCTCTCTGGAGAACGTTTGAAACACGGAAAGGCCACGGAAACCTGATTATCGAAGGACGCTCTTCCGGTGCTGCAATGTGGCCCATTCATAAAACAAATCGGATATCGACGTGGCGCTCTCCGGAGTGCACTAAACCGTCGTGTGTTCGGTAGCTCCCCGTTCGATCGCGGTGGCCGATAGCGCGCGATAAAGGGTGTTATCGTCGCAAGCACCAGCGACTCGCGCAACTTTCGCTCGAAACGTCGATAGGTCGTGGAGAACGTCATCGAAGCTCTGAATGAAGACAACGCGAGAAGAGCGATTGGCGGGCGAAAATGCCACGTTACAGTGCATTATTTACGAAGTATATTACGATATATATTGGCAAGGAAGGCCGTCACCAAGAGATATCACGCTGGACAGGATACAATCGGAATTATCGCGTGCTGATAATTCGCTCACGATACGCTTGTCCGATCGAAGCTCGTCATTCGATGCAAAATCTGAATCTCGGCTATCGAAACTGTCAATTCATCGCGATAGCGTCGTCCGCGCAAGATCGGCTTTGTCACACGTAAATCAACACGATTGAATGGAAAGATGCCGCTCAAATTGGCGAACCAGTACAATTGGTCCCCGAAGTGTATTCGCGGAGTGAGTCGAGCGTGGACCGAGTACGTCCTGTTTCTGCTTGATCGTGCGAACCTGTGCTTGGAGGCGCGTCCCTTCACGACGACTTTGTCCGGTGACTCGACGGTAAATAGGATTTCATTCATGAGTTCTCACCGCTGGCGAGATACGTTCGTCGGCGAAACGCGAACCAGTGACGTCATAGCGTCGCGGCGCCTGGCGTCAGACTGGCTCGACGGCGATATTACGTGGAAATGTGTTGAGCTACGATAGCGCAAGCGCACCACTCGAACCTGAGGAGGATGCTCGACTGTCCTCCCTCCTATTTTCTCCTCCACGGCGGTTCCTCCGTTTCCGCCACCTTCGATCCTCCGCGTGTGCCTTCTCTCTTTCTCTCTATCTCTATCCCTCTCTCTCTCTCTTCACCGTGGACCTACACTCTCGTTGTCTCGGTCGATCCGCATTCTGCGTCGTTTCCGTCTTCGTCTTTCCTTCCCCGACTTTCCGACTCCCTCGCGCTTTTTCCCCGACTTTCCTCTTTTCTCTTTCGTAGAAATTTTTCCGTCTCGATTTCTCGCACAGGTGGTATTTGTCGTTCTTCTCGATTTCGCGCATCTACTTCTTCACCGTCCCTCTCTCTCTCTCTTTCTCTCGGATCCATTTCTGCCGCTGCTTCATCCCTTTCATTTCGTTCTCGTACGAGATGCCTTCACCTCTTCACGTCCATTTGACCATAATTCTCGTCTTACAAATATTGTTAGCATTCCGGTGCTTTTGGGAAAACCTCTGGCTCTGGCGCGGCTCATAAAGTTCCATTATGGAATTAACCCGAATATTCGTATTCGGCAAAGTTCGCGTTTTTATTATCATTATTATGTATCATTGTCTTTTATGACCATCGCCATTGCTATCGTCATCGTCGGTTACTTCTGTTTCCAACTTTTACGAACTGTAATAAGTATTGCTTCGCGCCGCTGTTGCAGTTCCATCGCTTTCCATGCCTGGAATTTTTAACGAACGAAAAAAGAAGGAAACTAACAACGTTACGGTAAAATATATTAACGTTCTTAGCTTAGGACTACAATATATATTGTGAAAGACAAGCACAAAATAAAAAAAATGTGAAATAGAATGAGACTTTTTTTAGTATTTTCCGGCGACGAGATCAATCACTGTTGTTATTATATTATTAAAAAGACTATTCTGGGAAACTGAAAAAGGTTAATAATGATCACGCTACAGTGCAACGGCTCCGTGTACAAAACAAAATAAAAAAGATACAAAGTACGAACGAGTGTAAAATGAAGATGAGCGTGGAAGCGGAGCGCGGGGAAAGTTTCGTTGGTGTTTCATCGTGATGAGATCAATCACTTAAAAACTTACCGTTGGTTGCCGGAATTTGCAGCATTTGCGGAAAGAGAGATGCGCTGGCAAAACATTTTTCGATTGGGATCAAACTTAAAGGGATGAAGAAGATACGGTTGTGCGGACAGTATATTTCGCCGGTGGCGGATTTTCACTGCGCGTCGATCGTACTTCGGATCTGCTTGGCGAACTCGACACGATGGATCTGAATCGACGCGGATTTGCTGGCGGATCCATGAATAAAAGAAAAGGTTCGCGTGATACCGTTGATTCGTTGGTTCGATGACAAAACGATTTATTTCAACCTTCGCTTTATCTCCACTGAAAATCGAAAGCCGGATCACGTTTTGTTGCAAGCGTTATATTACACAATACGCTCAATAAAGAAAAAAATACTATAATAAAATGATAACAGAATTAGAAGAGAGAAGAATTATACAGATTTATTGCGCAAAAGGTATTATAAAATATTTGACAGTTTTATAATTATTTGCAGGCTCGATAATTTCCTTATTACGATCTTTCACGTGTAATTCTTTCTCGTGATCTTAATTAATCACTTGGTAATAAATTCTCCACAACGTCTAATTATCTCTTTTCGCGATAAAAGCTTTAAGTGCAGTATTCTTTTCGAAATCCCGCTTGACTCGAACCCGTGCAGTTTTTCGCTGATCTTTGCCGAGACGCTGCGATGATTTGATTTAGTTTCTGGCTCGCCTTTATCGGCCGAAAGTCGTAACTATCGTCGTACGAGTACGTATCAACCCCCGAAAAGATATAGGTTTCTCCTCTTTCTCCTGAAGTAATAACAAAAGTGCTCGACCATCGCGGCGTACGTCGGACGGTAACGGACAAAGCGCAAACGAAAGTGGAGCACGTCAGCACGTTCTGTACCGACAGTCCTGTCCTCGACATAAAAACGTCAATGATTCTCTCCCTTGCGAAAATGGAGCCGCGATCAACAACAATGTCGACAATAACAGATACATTCACGTAGCGGGGGCGTAAAACGCGATTCGTCAAACTGTTTACGGCCGTCGCAAACCTCTTCGGTGAATAATTGCTGCTCGCCGTCTCTTCGTTGATGGCCGCTCCGTTTCCTCCGCAGGTCGATTCCTCAACTTCAGCTATAACGTGTGATCCTTCGATTTGTACTCGAGAAAAGAGCTACATTGATAAAGCGAGTACGCTCGCGGTAATTGATGTAGCAGTGCGGAAATGATATCTTCGTATTTCGTATGACAAGTGTCGTGCAAATTACATCGCGTTTCACGGTGGGTTAATCTTTATATTATCCGTGAACTAACGCGTCTGCAATTTATCCATGTCGAAGGTTTTTGTTATTTTAACCCGCATCGCCGCGTTATTTGCCTAATGCATTTTTGATAGCTCTCACACCCATTGCTGCTTTATTAAGATTTAAAAAGGAGACGAAATACATGTCTTGCGGAAATGAGGCTCTCGCCGCGTTTTGCGAAATTAAAGTCATACTTCAGGCCCATCCACGCGTCGGTTAAAAGTGCTCTAACTATATAAAAATATGCTCGCACACATGTATTCCTAATTTTCTTTGAAAAATCTTAGAGAAAGGAATGTGGTTATTTTTTGGAATACTAAATTAATGAATAATAATTGAATTTCTGATTATTTTCTCAGGTATGTAAAATAATGTAATTGTATATTGTATGTAACTGTAAATAATGTAATTGTATATTTAATTAATGAAGTATGGTATTATTGATTTTACAACTATTACATAATATTTCGTAATTCCTTATATTAATATATTAATTTATTCTATTTTACGCTCTTTTTACAGATTTCAATTGATGGAGCACATTCGTGCGTTTTTCTTTAAAACTCATCGATCCCGATCCATCTAATTTTTTTGTTTGGCAAGTAACAAGAAGTGAAAAGTTTGGAGCAGCAGGATTTTCCTCGTCGCAAAATTTTCCTGACGAAGTCGGAAGGAAATCTCGGCGGTATTCGGTGAGTGGCCTGGCGTCTGGGTATCACGCGAAAATTGAGGTAAGTGCTTGATTTGCCGAAGAAATAAATCGCGAGAAAACGTGACTTCCATTCCCCGAAGGAATATACGATTCTATTTATGGGAGTGACCGAGAGAGACGACGATGATGTGAGCGCGAGACCATGGCCGGGCGGAGGGAGGCTGTTTCGAGCGGAAAATTGAATGCGCGCTAAAACGCACCTGGAAACGCGTCGGAATGGCACGGTCGCTATATCTAATCCGAATATCTGTCTGAATATCATGGTGCGTTGCTCGAATTTATGTACTTGTTTTGCACTTTCCGTTTTTCCCATTATTTTCGTTTTATTTCCTCATAACGAGAAACAAAGCTCGATTTTAGCCGACGGGGCTAAATTGCCGTTGTGTGTTGAGCATTTCTGTAACAAGTAAAGCAATTACCAAAGTGCGCGAAAGTTTGCGCGAAAATCAGATTAACCGCTGTGCAAATAAATTTTAACTGTCTCCGTAGTAAAATTTGATTCCTTGGCCGGCAGTTTCGCGTTCACGAAATTAAGTCGCTACATGTCGCGCTCACTTTTCTACGGCGTAATAGATCTGTCCGCGGCAATTCATTTTAGCGAGAGGCCGCATTAATTACGAGTGCAAATTGCTGCTGATAAGACTCATCTTCGTCCGCGGAGCCTTGTTGATCAAATTTGAGGCTGACTGGGAATTACGCAGCCAGTTGCAATCCCTTTCAGTCCTTTGTTCGACCGTGTTTGCAAGGTCTCCGCGCTTGAAACGAGGGGCAAACGGCAGTGGTCTCCTTTCAAACACGGGACCAAGTCGAGAGGGTGATTCGAATTTCGAGACCTCCATAGTCGACCCTCAAACCACCCACGCAGCGCGATACCTCGCCAACTAATTCACTTATTTGCATTAAATTCCCACGCTTCCCACGATCAATTCGCGGTGAAGTACATATGTCATATAGGACTTTCATGTATTTATTCTATTCATTCACGTTATTCTAATTTACCTGGAAAAAAAAAGCATGCGAATGTGAAAGTTTTATTTGCGAAGTTTGATTTTCGGAGCACGTATTTCACAAATATTTGTCGAACGCAGACTTGCGTTGCGCAATCAAACGTTTATTTTTCATAGTAGTATAATTGTTACCTTTTTTACTTACCTTCAGGGCTTATCTTTTTTATCGAAAGTGATCTGTGGTTGAATCGTATCATTGACGCAATCAATGTCCTCGGTATGCCATCCTAAGGCAATGTAAATGCATCTCATTTGCGTTTCGTGACGGTTAGGGTAATTGCGAGTTAGCATACGGGCTTTCCGATGGCAGCGGTTGGAATACGGGTGGGAACGGCGTTCCAATAATGTTGGGCTGTGATTTATCGGGCTATTTCCGGTCGAGGTGTCTCTATCTGCCGCGGTGCAGCCATTTCTTTATCGGCGGCGCGTGAGAAACGCGCGAGCGCGCGTGCGGACACGGCTTCGTTAGAGGCTCGGCCGACCGGAAGAGTCGTTAACTACGGGCAGCGAAGTACACGCGAGCAATTTGCATGACCGCTAATTTCGCACGTGCTGTGCTTGTACGCGCTGTGATATAAGCGGTCTGTGCTGGCTCGGGCGGTGCGCACGGTTCCATTTACACTCTGATAAATTTTGAACAATAATTATTGGACATTCTCTGCTACCATCGCGCATTATATTATCGCAGTTTCGAGTTCGATGGAATTATGTAATGTCATGCAGTTTTATATCCATTTCGTGGGTTTCGAATAATTCTAATTGATTGCACTCGTTCTCTTTATTATTCCGGCGCACTGCCTGTAACGATCTGAATATTGTAATATATTTATCCGGGAAATGTGTTTGGTAATTTCAAGTGCTTTTTGTGCAGATTTTGCAGGTAAGTCTATTTATATATGAATATTAGGCTATTTATATAGTAGTTCTTTTTTCGAAGCAGGTAAGTCTATTTATATATTATAATTAATTGACATATATATATCTGTGATGGGGATTGCGACAAAAGTAAATATTCACAATTGAAGCGACGGATATGTTCACATCTAATTATAAGGACTAACGAGGGCGCGAATGATTAATCATATTCAAATAACGAATATCAATAGGCTCTCGTTTGATTGGTGTGCTCCAAATAATCTGCAGTGTCATTAGTCAGACGGAAATATTGCTCAAATTTATTTCAGTATTTTTCTAAAAAAGTTCTACTTTCACGAGTTTCAAGTTCATTAATCAAGTATCAACGATTCAACTTTCGTAACACTTCCATAATAGTTTCTTGTTGTAAAGGAAGTTCACAGCGTTCTCTCGTAAGAAACGGGTAATTAATAAACGTGACAAACCGGCTTCAAGGTGTGTTCATGATTGACGTCCCCTTTGACAAGCAATGAATAAGCGAAATGCTTTTAAAGGACAAGTTAATTCGCTGAGAGAAGTCGCGCGCGACTCTGTAGTCAGCCGAAAGAGGCGCCGAATGGTAGACAGAGCACTCGTTCACCCCGTGGTGCCTTCGTCGGTGAACCAAGCCACCCTGTATCGACCCAGCGACGCCCACCCAAAGAGCGACCCCCACCATGAATGACCCCATCCACCGACAACCGGTACCATTTTGTCCAAAAATTCCAGAGTGCGATGCGCCAAGTCACTGCTGCTTTTTTATTCGCGGCACGAGATCGACGATTCCGAATGCGTCGCATTGGCGAACGTTGCTGACGAAATTCGCAACTTCCAAACGCTGGCAATTTTTCGGGTTCGCAAACAGCGGATCGTACAAACGGAACAAACGGAATTTCGTAATGCAATACCGCGCGCGCGATACCGAGAGGGATCTAAATTACATTCAAACGAAATATTTAACTTTTTGTACTCTGCGTCGGATGATTTACGATTAGCGCCACAAGACCGGCCAAATAATTCACCAGACAGCTTTGAATGAAATGAAGTTTATAATACAGAGTAGAGGCTGCGCGTATATCTTTTTCCTCGAAACAAATCTCGTAAATCATCCGGCAAAATTTATCTTGTCAGTTGTACATCATGCCGTATGCAAGTCTATGTAAAAAATACGAGGGACACTAAACCGGCCGCATTGAGACCTCCGGACATATTCTCATTTATCGTACAAACTATCGCTTCCTAAACGATTTTATTCTCCAGTTCACGTTGGTAGAATATCTTTTTCGCCAGCCGGAAGAACGAGACTGATACAGCGTTACACGAGTGCGTGTTGTACGTCGCGGACGGTAAATATTTCCGGTGTATTTCGAAATTTTATTATGACAGAGCAAACACTCGCTCTCGTAACACACTTTACCCGCCGTGGTAAGGGGAGTACATTTCCGACGAGGATGTATGCGCACTTAAATTATCCTCCGAATGATGACGGACCCCGTCCCGCCAACCGGCTGGCCGACCTTGTTGTACGTGCGCGACACGTTCCACCCACCGTGACATATTTATAGCGCGTTCAAAACAAAGTCCCGCGCACCGCGTGCGTTCTAAATTATTTCTAAATAGCGGTGTACCGACAATGGAGGAGTTTGGTTGCCGCCTCCACTTAACTCCGCTCCGTTCTCTCCGCGTGAAAATCCCACAAATCCCTCTTTCTCGTCTTTTCTCCTTCGCTTGCACGCCAGGAACGATTTTCCCACAACCTGTGAATGGAACGGAAACCATCCACCGGCGATTTTCCTCACCGCTTCCGCCGTCCGTCGCGCTTAGTCGGTACTCCATATCGCGCGAGAACGCGCGTGTATATTCTCGCCCGAGTTTTACACGCGAGAAAAAGAGGGAGAGAAAAAGCTCATCGATCCGCGCGGTAAATATCAAAATTTCACGGGCTGACGCATGACGCAAAAATCGATTGAAAGAACGATTGAACGCGGCCTGTTTGCACGAGTTCTTTCACGAGACTAGGTACACTGAGCGCGTGCTCGTCATGTACTCGTCATCTGGTTCGACAGCAAACCGCTGCTGTCGCGCTCGACGTGACGAGCGTCCACTGAAGCACCTTGTGGATATTTTTACAGCTTGTTGAAAAACAGTAAATTACTCGAAGATAGGAAAATAACGATTCGAAGGATTTTCCATGGGCGCGGGAAAAATTTCGGGTCCATAATTCACATTTTTTTTCAGAGAACGTATACTTAAGAGCGATAGACTGAAGAATGAATAACTGTTCTCGGATATAGCCGATTTCTAAGTAAATTACGTACTTCGAACTTTTATGTCGCGTCGTTCCACTCCTGTAATGAGGATATTTGCGAGAAGGGATATAAAAATGGAATAGATGTTTCTCTGAATTTATTTCTCCATTCACGTGTTTCGCAAAGTTGCCGACCGAGATGTCACGTCCGGAAGATGAGTTTGCGCTGCGAAAACGTTCTTTGTGGGATTTACGTATGCAAATAAGCGAAATAATATTACCATCGAACCAAGAACGCGGACGGACCGTTGCGGCGAATTTAATTATCGATTCCCCGAGAGAGAATATCTTTCCGCAGTACAGCATCTATTTTAGAAACGCGATGCAACCAAGAGGTAGCGGTTTATTTCGAAGAGTTCGATGGGAATATTATTATCGTAGCCGGCAGCAGTTCTTTCGTTAGATCCGAAAATTGAACCCAGCGGTTTCTACGCTTGCTTGTACCGCAATACGTTTTCGTTTCCCTCTGTTTTTTTCTTTTTTCTTTTTCTTTTTTATGTACTGCTGTGCGGAAATGTAGACCTCCTTGAAATTCAATTCCCGTCTCGACATCGAGCGTTATACATAAATCACTTAGGTCTAATCGAACGATACATAACTTATTGACGGAGAAAGTATAAAAGATTAATGCCGATAATAGCGGACGAGACGCAATTTTCATTACCACACTCAACAGCGCTTAATTATGCAACAACACTCACACAGAAATAAATTATGACGATTCACCGCGTTAGCGTAAAATATTTCTCGACGCTCCTCATTAATTCATTCGTTATTTTAAATTTTCAAGCGGAGGAATTTTGGCACACCTTTCGTTACACCTTCCGCTTCCGGGTGATCCCGGAATTAACGCGAATTAATTCCACCTCGATTTCGCTCTCGCGGATTCTCCCGCAGAAAGGATCCTTTGTACGATCAGGTACTTGACACATTTAGATTTCTTTTTTTGTTCTCTTCTCGTCCTGTCTGTTCTCCGAGCGTTCTCTCCTTTAATTTCCAGCAGCGACGACGATCGCTCGCGACTCAATGCACAAGTCTTGTCGTCGCGTCTCCGCGCGAATTCTGATAAATTTCCCACAATGCCGTGAACGCATTGCAGCGGTTCTCACCGCGACATTTCTTTTCAGTTTGCGCTTTCCTCTCTCGCCTGCATCTTCCTCCTCCCTCGCACCTCCGCCTCTCAGCAAACTCGATCGATTGCGTCGGAAACTTCTTCAACTCGTACTTTAAAAAGCGAAAGAGTCCCACGGGATCCCTGACGACGGTTTACATAGAACCCTTCGGTTTTATGTACACTCGTCTTTGTTTCGTGAAGACTCATCGAGTATTTCGACACACACAATCACTTCCACACGATCGCCGGGCAATCCGAAACGTGTATTGTTCGACAGAAAGTACGCGCCCGAGAGAGCGAGAGAGATACTCGGATATCAACTATTTAATCGGGTCGGTCGATTTAATCCTCGGAATAGTCAGATGTTCGAATTTAGCCGCAGCAACCACGTAGAGACACGCCCGGCTCTTTAGCCGTTAGCACGCAGGAATGTTCAATGGATGCGTCTGTACCGGCAGTTTACAACTATTCCGGAGTTGCCGGTGTACAGAATACACGTAGTTTGAATACTTCGTTGCGAATTGTCTTGGAAGAATCGGAGCGTACGAAGCGCCTCCAAGAAATTGATAACATGCGTAATAATTTCATCTTTCTTTTCCTAAATCATTTAATACGTGTGTTTATACCGCTGTGAGAAATCTGCGAAAGCCTACTTATCGCTACCAAGCCTGTACATATAAGCGGGATTGTTCAATGTAATTGTGTGTCGTGAAATGTTTTTCGTGTATTGTTTTGGATACTCGGCTATTTTATAAAGTTTTTGCTCGCAATTGAATCGTCCCGACATTTACAGTTTCACGGTACGCTGGTCTCTCGCGCTAGATCCGGGAGCCTCTTTTTATTTCACCGGCTGGCGACCGAGCGGTTGACGCCAGGATCGATGGCAAAAATCCGTGTTAAACGCTGGCACGAGCCAGATGTCCGGGGGTCGCCACCATGGTAGTCGGCGGGGTGGTGGTCGTTGTCGTCGGTCTCGGTATCGGGGAACGTTTCATAGGCACACTTCTGCCACCTCGTATATTCCTGATCCACGGCCATTGTACAGTGCGAATTAAAGTGTTTCGAAAGTCTTCGGAAAAGAGGCAATAGATGTAAAACGTGATCGAGTAATTGATCACCTCCAGTAGATTGGCCAATGCTCGGAACACCTGCAACCGAACGGGCGGCAAATTAATGGACGGATTCATAATTAATGAAGTCGAGAATTAGGCACAAGAGAGCATGCAAGGATAATTGAATCAATTATTCAGGAAGCGGATAAGTGAATTCTGATTAAATGTTTTCCTCCGAGATAACACAACAATAACAGAGTGAAAAATAAATTGGGAAAGGGAATTGTTGCTCTAAATTAATTTCTAATTTTATTCTATTATTAACAAAGGTAATTTTTTTAGAATAACGAAACAATGATGAGAGATGACGAAATATTTTATTTTATTCAATTCTATTATATTAAATTAAAGGAACTTAAAAATCTATTTCGATAACTTGTTGGATAATTTGTTTGAAAATTAAGTATAAATTTTGTGTCGATTTACCTGGTAAGGATAATGGCTTAGATTGCTCTCGCTGAGGGTTACATTTAAGATAACCATAGGACTGACACAGACCAGGAACAGGATGCTGGTACTGCCTAAGAGCAGAATGAGCCTTCGCTCTTCAGCGAAAGTTCTGGGATCCTCGTCGCTACTAACGGTTCTCGATAAGGTCATTCTCCGACGTCGCTCGCAGGATCTTCTGTACACTATCATTATTCTCAGATTGAATCCGGCGAGAAGAATCGTCGGTGCCACTTTAAAAACAACTTCCAGCACCACCTTGTACACCTGAAATATATACGTTAACGTCACGCGAGGAATCGTTAAATTATAACATGCAGTTAAATACGGTACACATTATCTTTTAAGATTATAAAGAGAATGTAATTAAATATGGAAGGTGTTCTAAAAATCCTGACCTTAACTTAAATGTCAGATATTCTTACCAAATCGGCCAGTAGAACATTCCACATAATTGACATCAATACAATATTGTAGACGGAGAAATTAATAACGTTACGATATTATCGGTTGTAGAATAGTAACTCTTTTCGGAGTTCGCTTTTTTTAAAAAGCAGGAAAACGTGACGTTTGCAAAGGAACACAAATTACCTGATAATACCACGAGTTGAGAAACGACTGATTGTCTCTCTTCTGGTAGATTAGGGGTCCGCCGGGCTCCAGCAGGCAGGTCGTAATTTCACCCCGAAATACACTCGGCAGATAAACGAGAAATGTGGCCAGTGGGATGAGCACCACTGTTAGGTGAGGGGGTCCGCAGAGTGGTCGCGTGTGTCGCCCGGGATGACAGACGCTTACGTAACGCTCCACTGTCAATGCCAGAAGCATCATTACTCCAACCCCTATGCATACAATTAACCTCTATATCTCTCGAATATAGTGCTATGTCGAGTCGGCCTTAAAAGCTCTCTTCGTCACGCGGGCGCCTACGCGTTTCACATACAGTGTTAATCGAGAAATTTCCACAATTCGTTACGTTGCTTGTGATGCAACGCGATTTAATATTTCGCGTTCCATTTCCGCGAGCGCTCCCCCTTTTGGACTACATCGTGGCAAACTTCTAATCGCTATCATCGCGGTAACTTATAAAAGCTGCGCGAGAGATACGAGAAAGCAAAAGTTTCCCGCCGCAAGTTCCAGCCAGCATCTTCTACTATTTTCGCGCGCGGTGCAGAGAGCAGATAACGCGATAAATTCATTCCCTCGGCAAGGATCGTATCGGTCCGCGAAAATGGTGTTAATGCGAGAGAGTAAACGCAAAAGAGAGAAAGAGAGAGAGAGAGAGAGAGAGAGAGACAGAGAGAGAGAAGGAGAGAAGGACTCGGATGAATTCTCCACGGACGAAATTTTGCAGCGTGTTCCGTGGAATTTTCAGTGAAATGCGAGAACGTTTCGTCGTACCCAGGCAACCGTTGCCGAGGAAAAGCTCGAGATGAGCATGATAGAAAGCCTGGGGCCAATTGCTCCATCCTCCGGTTTCCTTATGAATGAGCACCCTCAGCGCGAAGGGAATGCAGAAAAGGATCGCGAGAAGCGCCGCCGCCGAGTAACCTGCAACAAAAAGACGAACAGAGAGTTAAGAAGGATCGCTCGAACGCGGGAAAAAATAAGGACGAAGGCCGAGGCCTCAGTTAACTTGATTTCGTAACTCAGGAACAGTGAATGAAGGTGGCACGCGATTCACTTAATCATTTCCACACTTTCTTGAATGTTCCCCGTCGTGGAAGTTTTATTCTGCCTCCACACGAGGCTTCACCGCCGCGTAGAGCGATGAAAATAATCAAATTACTCTTCGGGATATGTTTCAGGATCTCCGAGTGTTCTTAGCTTTTTCAATTTTTGATACTTGCGAACTTTTAGCCGCGAGTTACATATTGCACAAGTTGACAATATTTTTATTATAATTTCAACACTTTTGGCTAATCTTATTTGAAAAGTTTGCATTTGCTTAATTGTGAAGTAATCATTGATGCTACTGATATGAAAATTAAGTTCTCGTTATAAAACCAACATTTTATTTTATATTTCAATTTTGTCGATCGACATTTGGGATTTCAGACAATCGCAATTGGATATGTGCTTTTTGCACAAATTCACAAATTTCTAGCCGCGCGTTATACGTCGCGTAAAAAGTAATATGTTTATTATAATTTTAACACTTTGTTCTTTTAGCTAATCTTGTAAAGTTGCATTCGCTTTGTTTAATTATTGTGTAATCGTTAGTACCACTGGTGTGAAAATTTTGTTGCGAAAACAGCGTTTCATCTTACGTTTCAATTCCGTCGATCGACACTCGGGATTCCAGACAATCGAAATTGGATGCGCGCTTTTTGCCAATTTCCATCGGTGTACTGTTTTCGCATGGTCGATCGCGCTGCACGCTGGCTGCCCGTCTCATGTTACGAGCTTTTATCGCCCATTGACACCAATTAACGCTCGTATTTACCATTCCGTTTCGCTGCATCTCCTGAGCACAATTAGATGTCGACGCTGTTCTCCTGATCCTGCATCGTACAATTGCGAATTCGAACGAATTTCCTTACGTACTCCGAATGAAATAAAGGACTAAAAGCACCTTGTTTAGGTGCAATAAAAATTTTATTGTTGAATGAAAGAAAGTATTTTTGTTCTTACTTTTTTTAAATTAAAAAAACTTTTAACTTTTTAATAAATTATTTAATATTGAATGTTTCGTGTTAACGTGTTACTTGATAATTAAAAACTATGAATAACAGATATATTATTCGTGTGTGCGGATATTAATATTTATATATGTAGATTATCTTCAACCAATATGTGGCGGACAAACCAGGTAAAATAATTTTATCAACCACTGCTTTATTATACCGACCATACTTGAGTTTCAGCCGCTGATAAACTCAAGAAGGTTGCCGGTAACACATTTCTTCGGTCGTTGATAATAAGGTGGTAGACCGAGGGTGGTTTCAACCCCTCGTCGGTCGATACTTCTATTACCAACCGATCTGGATTCGCGTTCCGCGGCCATCTCGCTGAGCTTTCGTTAAGCGCTTCGTCCGCGGAACGACAGTCGCTTTAATTTCAGGAGAAAAGTTCTTCTCTCGGTTCTTTCCCTAAAGTTTATTAAAGCTCACGATACATGCTCGCCGGAGTATGAAAGTTGCAAGAAACCCGGAAATTGGCTAATGTCGCGCGAATGAAAGTCGAGTTTTCCGCCCGACTACATGACGCGTCGTGGAAGCTCGTAAAACTTTTACACTGGAGCTCCCGCGTTAAGACGAAATTGCATCTTTCCATTTAAATTACGATTTTCTTGCCGCCTGTCGCCCGCCAACAGCCACGAAGAAACAGCTCGGTTTTATTAGGTCTCTCTTTTCGCGAATCGACGAGTGAATGCGGTTGGATTCTTATTAAGGGTTCTTGACCCCTTCGTTACGCTTCGTTTTCTCGAGATTAACTCTTCGATATGTCAACCCTAATTAAGATCTTCCCATAAAGCAATACGTGTAGTAATCTCGCAATGTTACAATTTGATGAAACAAATAGAACGAGAACTCCTGCAAAATTACGATATTCAGATAATGTCATTTCTTTGTATAATAACATTATTTATATTCTTTGAAAAATTAAATTTATGTAAAAACGTATATTTGAGTAAAAGTACTAATTGAAGTGACAGGATTATTTTTAAGACTAAAGGATTAATGTTTACGTGATAATTACAACATGTTATAGATCATATTTTAAACGTTAAAGTTTTTTTTTGTACAAATACACTTAAAACCATCGTTACTAGCGACTTATCCCTTGTTACATACAAAAGACAGAATGGCTTGCCAGCTCAATGAATCCTTTCTTTGACGATTGTATCCCTTAAACCGCGTAAAACAGAGCGAACAGCATTAGAGTAGTCGTCGTTCGTTCTCAATTACCGGAAACCATCGCGACTGAAATCCACGCTTTTCATTTTTCTGGAAAGGCGACGCGAACGGACGAGGTGGGCGTCGAGCTCGTTAACGCACGCAGACACGACGACGGGAATTAATGTGTCACTGACCCGTTTTAGGGTCACGGTTCGTTTACCAAATCTTATCACGTTGATTGGCCGATTCCCCGGCGTTTTCTTGTTCGCCTCCGGTTTGCCGGTGAGAAAGGGACGCGATAAAGCTGGCGGAACCGTAAAATTCTGATCGAAAAAAAACACGGGGTAGAAATAAATCCTAGGACGTACATTCTGCGTGAACGTCTCTTGCGTGAGACACGCGAAAGTCAAGAAATTTGTACGCCTCTTCGAAAAACATCACAAAATATACTGATCTTGTTATCTCGAAGGAACTGCGTGTTAAAATGCGGCCGATACCATTTTTTCTCTCTTTTTCCGCATGTCGCGGAAACGCCTGTAATACATGTCATCGGTTTTTATGAAAATTTTTTAAATGAAAATCTTAAACGCTTGAAATTTTATTCTTCTTGTTATTGAGCAGAAAATATAAACAAATTTAAGATAAATACGAAAAAAGATTTGAGATATAAAAAATATTCCTCTATTGAAGCATTTTTTTTTATCTACATCTCAGTATACTTGTTTCTGCATTTACATATGTGTATTCGATACTGGCAAATTTTGATTTATCTATTAATTATCTTTTTAATGATGCTTAAATATTTTTATATAATTATTGTTATTTTAATTGTGATATTGATTAACTTACGCGTCAAAATTCTCATAGCTCGTGAGCGCTATTTCACGCACTGCGAGGTACTGTATCATTGTCATGCCCGAAGTTAATATTTCGCATCCGTTGCGTCTGTATAAGTTCGTGTGTCGACAAACACAGGAATAGTGAAGAAAAATGTCGCGATGTCTCGCCGGAGACAGGCGACGTTGTTGCTCAGCATCCCGCGGCGACATTTTACAAATCGCGTTTTCCCGGCATGTTTAATTTATCGAAATCCCGAGGGAGAAGCCAGCTGCAGCATTCATTTGTCAAGATCCGCGCTGCGAAACTACGCCGCGATGACGTCGCACACCTGAACTGGTTGCTTAACTCCATAAGAGCGGCTGTTTCCGCATAGATCGTTAATCTGTCGTTTATCACGGTCGGTGGAACATATGCGTATCTCTATAAATTGCAAGCAGCCCGAAGTCAGTAGGTTTTGAAAACGGAATGGCTTACCCTTAGTTGCCCCTGTCGAGGTCAGATCGTTTTATCTGACATCGCTCAGAATATAAATGCTTTCTGTGGTCGAAAAAATATCAGAAACAAAACCCGTGTCCTCAGGCGAAAGACAATAGCGTTACGTCTATCCCAATTTTATTTCTAAGGAAGGAAGGTCGTGAAATCTACATGTATAAAACTAGACGCAATTTCTTTGGAAAATTAATTTGAATAATTTTGTTAATTCCATTATCAAAAATATGAAGTTACATAGTTTTATTATAAATTACAAATTATATATTTTCACTCGTGTGAAAAATATTTAATTTGTTTGCAAGCAGATGTTAAATTTAGGTAAGTGCTTTTTTCCCTACAATTAACGATACGTAGTCTCATTCGCGCTTCTGCGCTGGCGTTCGCACCACCTGTTGAAAAACGTATGTAATAGTTTCCATTACTTTCGCGCTTGATGTACTTCGTATCTTACTTGCTTCTTCACTGAGTACATCCGCGATATTTATTCTCAGGTTAATAAAAGCCGGAAATAAATATCGCTGCACATTATTATATATCTCTGCTAATCGTATCTTGAAATTAAATTCCGTTATGATATAATAGGACTCTATTAATCATCACTTGTTGAAAACGGAGCTAAATTGACAAGCCAATAATACAAACAGAAATTCTATCACAGAAGAATTTCTGGCACGTTGCTCCCATCCGATAAAATTAACTAGCGGAATAATTTGCATAAGGAAGACTTGTTGAAAAGAGCAACGGGAAAGAGATCAACGTTGAAACCGGGACAGTGACCCAGCCGTTGGAAACTCATAACGATTAGAAATGGTAGCGGGAGAAATGAGGGTGAGTGCTGCAATATTGCACACCCGGTAATAAACTATTCCGCGGTAATATCGCAGCGCAAGGACAACGAAAAAAAAACCCTCAGGACATTATCAACGCAGACAGAGAATTTTGCACCGAGATTCTTTAGGATTTGTGTTGTCTTTAATTTGACAACAAAGAAACGGATAAGACGCGAAGTATCTGAGATTTTGCAGAAAAAACTAAATAGATCGGTAAATAAAACCTAAATAAATAATAAATATAATAATTTGTGCGCGAAGAGCAAATACTGAAATATCATTTTGCAAAAAGGACGCGCGAAGATTTATTCGAGAGAGATTGGCCCGTGGGGAAAGGAGCCAATCGAGAGTGATCGATTTGGATTGAGACGTTGGCAGTTTAAAGATTCCGACTCGTCGATCTCGAGAATTGCGAGCGACAGCGCGCGAAAAGGCGGGCGTCGATATCCGGCACGTTGATACACGACTTTCGCGTACGGGAACGTCGCGGCACGAAAGGATTTAATTCGCACGTGTCCTCGACACGCATCTCCGGGGAAATAACATC